ACCAGGAAAATTCATGGCTGTGATTGGCTGCTGTGTATTTTAGTGTGCTATTTTCGTAACTGTCTCAAGGACGTTTCTATGATGTATAAATAAACGAGAGTTGTGTGTTTGATTGTAATGTGATTACTGGGTGTTTGTAGAATATACTTTCTACGCTTACCAAGCCTTCTGTTTACAGCTTGGGATTCAAGATAGCCTATCTGGACTCTGGTAATTGTCTCGTTCGCGTTTATCGACTAAGGTGAACTCGTAATAGCTTCAAGCGTACCAGGTTACGAACTTAACAACTTGGTACATGCGAGAGAGAGAGTTTGAAACAAAAAATTATTTACACTACTGAAACATTAACAATAATCCACCAATTCAAACTAGATACTTTGCAATGCAAAAACATTATGTCCAACCTGTCAGATCTTCCCTGGCCTTAATTCCTTTCTCTCGGTACGTTTGCTTATCATGTTTTGTTTTGATTGCGGTTTGTACTTTTAAATAGTTGTGATTATTACTAACAGTATTATTATTATTAATATTCCTATGATCTTCTATCGATTTTCAAGACTTCTATTCGCTTGTTATGATGACCTTTTATGTTCCTCAGAATTCCTTCATACCTGTCGAATGGACAATTGTCACTGACCTTGAAATTATTCTCATCTTTCTGCACTTTCCTAACCACCGAATTATTTATTACATAGTTTCCCTTTTCTGCTATTTGAAATGTTCAATTAGTTTATGATGTAATCTCTTAGATGGTGAAGAAAATGTTTAGCTCAGGGTGGATGATTATGAGGGAGTTTCATTCTCTGACAGTTGTGATGCTGATGATGACCAAAACATCTAGCTCAGAGAACGAAACTTCATCGCGAAGTAATCTCTGCCATATTTTACTACAGATTGATATATTTATCAAAAACAAAGATACATTTTATAGAAAATTATTTCACTGAAATGAAAACAGGTTCTTTGCATGTACTCTGTTGTTATTTTAAATTCAGCTATCCCTAAGATCGATCCTAAAAACCTCAGACTGAAAAAGTACACTCGATATTTATTTCGATGCGTATCTGCAGATGAGTGTGAACACTCATATACATATATATATGTATGTATATATAGATAGTAACTACCAAAGACAGTGGATGAGGTTGCTCAACTTCGTGAATTGATCGAAGTTGGACATGAACACCGTTAGACACCGACTCAGTGGTCCAGCGGTTAAGCGTTCGCACCCAGGACCGAAGGCCCTGGATTCTAATCCTGCGAGGTGCACAGTGCTGGACGAGCACTGCTGATGAGTCTCATACCAGGACGAAACGGCCGTCCAATGCTTCCAGGTTATTAATGGTGATCTAACTTTGATCGACTCATGATTTCAAATGTGAAACTTGACAATCTTCTCAACCGCGTAATGCAGTATATATATATACAAAGTTTTAGTTTATTTTTAATTCAAAAATAGAAGTTAACTGTAGGAAATAAACAAACATATGTTTACATTGAAATCATGAAAGACAATGGGTGAAGTTGAGCGAAATCCTTAGATTGATCAGAGTTAGACATTAACACCGTTGGATGCCGACTCAATGATCCAGATGCTAAGCGTTCACACACAAGACCGGAAGTCCTGGGTTAGAATCCTGCGATGATGAGACTCATACTAGGATGAAACGGCCTTATTTCAGTGCTAACAGGTTTCCCAATGATAGTCTAAGACATTGATCGATTCATGATGTCAAAAAAGTAACTCAACAATCTCTACAACCCTATAATGCAAATTATGTTTTTAAACGAATAAACAAAACTTGTTATCATAATTACTAATCTATCCAATGTTAATTAATGAGTCAACTTAACTTATTACAGCTTCAACAATAAATATTTACCGGTCAAATTGATTTACTCTTCAATTTGATCAGTATTCAATGTTATCAGTAAGTTGTTTTGTGAAAATGGTCAACTTTCACAAACTGAGCACCTTCAACCTTATTACTTCAAATAACAAGGCATCTATATTACTGATTCAAACATAAAAAGCCCTTTGATGAGTAGTATAATTGTAATCACCAGTAACTTTCTTGAAGATGAGTTTTTGAACATACAAGAAGGGTTTATCAATCGTAAAAAGTTCATGAATGAACGATGTAGCTGACACCAGAACTACATACAGCCTTGAATAATTTAACCAATAAATATCTACCATTGAATCCTAACACAAGTATCAAACGCTCATTACTAGCCCTGAATGTACCAGTCTAAATTCCAGTCAAGGTTATGGTTCCACACAAAATAAGTCACTTCTAAATAAGATAAAATAGTTGCCTAATACTTTCCAGTGGTCAGCAATACTCCGACTAAGATCAATCTATCAAAAACACTACTACTTACAATATCATATCAACACTTTTTACAAATCTGATTAAAAGTGATCTTCAATCACTTACAATAATAATCACACTCATTATATAAAGCAATGCCATATCATATATGATTATCATGTAAAATACATTTGTATTGGTAGTTTGATAGTTAGGAGTGCAATTAATCTGTTTGTTATATATATATATATATATATATATATCGTTTTGCAGATAGCCTTGATCTAACCAAACGAAACGGATCACTGACAGTGTCATTTATCAATGGGAAAATTCACGCTACCAATAAAAATGAATTAAACTTCAGCCGATTACATCAACCAGCCAGTGTCATGGAGTGAATATCAACTATGGGTTGCAGGCATATCCAGTTACAGACGAGTCGTAAATAGAACAAGATTTGCATCCTTGATTTCATAGTTAGCCACTACCTATCTGTGTCTATGATTATCATGTTCAGTTTGATTGGATAACACATAGTTAGTCACAGATATTAGTGTTTTACTAACTAAATTAGTACTTATAATGTCAGTTCGCCATTCTTAGTCTAATTTAATATATCTTGAGATGATGTAGACAGTTTACAGCTCAGGTGGAAGATTGTGGTGGTGTTTCGGTCAACGACAAAATGACAAAGGAATAATAAAAACCAAATATCATCTACAAAATAAACAGCTGCTCAGATTGTGAAAAACGCTACATAGGACAAAGTGGACAGCCTTTTCAACTTCGTTTACATGAATATCAATTAGCAGTCAAACGCCACGACAACGCTTTGCTTATATCAGTTCACACGGACAACTATGGACATACGTTCGATTGAAACAATGTTGAAATACTGGATAAGGTAGATACAAAGAAAACTAGAGAATTTTTAAATGTTTGGCACTCAGATAAATCAGCAATCAACATACACACATTGACATTGACCCAATTTATCAACCAAACAGAAAAATCATTAACGAACGCACAATCAAAAAACAGATCAGAAAAGGATGATACAATCAAAATAAAAGTGCAAACAACGACAACCAATCACGATTGACCTCAACGAAACAAGCTATGAATCATAACTAGAGAAATTTAAATAGTTCACTTCTCTGCTATCTGACATTTGTGTTGATGATGATGTTATGTTCAACAGGAGAACAACAATAAAAGCTCTACAACCAAAACATCCCCAACTCAAAAAGACCGAAACTCCACCACTAGTTTAAATAACAAATCGAAATGCAACTATACACAAGTACATTTTATTCAACCAAAAAATAAAATATATTATTTATACAATAATAATCACAGTAATGAAGAAAAATATATATTCAAACTAACCATAAATGATTGTGTTTTTTTCAAAATCAAATATTCACTTCTGTTCAATTGTCAATTTCATATACAATAACACTCACTATAATCTATGATGATCTAAACTTATTGGCAATCCACATGTCAATGTTTTGTTTGAGAAAAAAAAAGAAAAAATATATATATTTATTTCTACAATAATCATCCATTTTGTTTGTTTAAATGCATCGCCACTTTTGTTCAAGATTCAATGTTTAGCTAGTAAAAGTCTTAGACGTGCACGAAAACTTTGATTGAACAATGAATAAATAAAAAAATTCACAGCATTATTCACATAATAAAATTCATGATGTACAGTTGTCATAAAACTACCTTCATTCTCTTGACTATTGATTATATACGATGATGATGATGATGATGATGGTGTTGTAAGATTTGGTAATATAGTAGTCATATTATTCGATAGAGAATGGTCGGCATTACCGTCGACAGTATTATTATTATTATTATTGTTATTGGTATATATCCACCAAAATTTAAAATGTACCCATAGAACAGGAAACAGTGTAGCATAGAATACAACAGTTGAAATAAATATCATTAAACCTGTACGATGACTACGTGTTATACGTTTGGATGTGGAACGATTTATTACTGACCTGAATATGGGCGATTGTATTGCTGTTGTCGGTGTTGGTGTTGTGGATGTCTGTATAAATTGCTTATCATTTTGTGTGGTAGGTGTCCCAGGATTCCTTGCAACATCAGGTGGATGTTCAACCAATGTTGACATTGATGGTGCTTTAATGAATGTCTGTTGTTTACGCAGCAGTAGTTTACTCCATTGACCAGTTTGTACAGCATGTTGATGATGACAGCAATAACATGATCGATTTGACATGATTTGATCACAACTTAATTGTTTCATCAATCTTATTGGTAGTCTATTATGCCTTGTAGTTTGTGTTATTGTTGGACAATGTTGTTCATGACATTTGTTTTGATCATTGCCATTTGATGAATTCAAATGTTGTGTGTCATCAGTTGATGATTTTAAACAAGAATTTGATTTGTTCAATAGTTTCAATGATGAATAATTTGTATTTTGATGAATAGTAGTACTACTAGTACTACTAGTAGTAATTGTATTAGTAGTACTAGTAGTAGTACTAGTTAACCATCGTTGTTTACGTAAATCATTTTTTCTAACAGTAATAAATATTTGTGCATACAAATAAGTAATAATGAGAAATGATAAAAATGTCAACAGTATGTAGACTTGATTAATTAATTCACGAAATTTTTCAGTCAGCTGACAATCCCATTTACTAAAATCCAATATAATCAGTACACATTCAAATAGACATGTTCCAATTGTTACTGTAATCACAATCGATAGGATACATGTGTTCGACTGGCAAAATTCATTACTTCTATATTTTGGACTAGGGGAATTCACTGACGGTTGTATGAATTTCGATGATAGTTGTTTATGTTGTTCACCAATTGAATTGAATTCATCAGCATTCACTGAACGAAGCGATGTATCGTCGTAACTCGATTCTTGTAAATGTTCCAATGGTTTCTTATGAAATATTAATGATATTAGATTGACAGTCTTTAGAAAATGTAAATTTCCATTCAATATTTTATGATTTGACGGTTTATTATTATTATTATTGTTATTAATATTATTATTACGAGGGCTAAATGAAAGACAATACTTTGAACGACACATTCCTTGTTCCACAAGAATCATATAACGTTCAAATGCAATAGCAGCCAAGACACTCCCCTCGCAAGCAAAAATAATATTACGTAATAATGTCAGCACGGCATTCAATTCGTAATTGGCATAAAATCCTCTTTCATAATTCATGGCATTTCGACTGGACAAAGAAGACGAAGATGCAGAAGAGGCATTAGTCGGTATGGCTAGTAGTGTCGTCTCATCATGAGCATAATTCGCTACACGATATATATCCCATGGTAGGATTAAAACACATGTCAATAAATCGATCAATGCCAGTAGGAGAATTAAATTCTGTTGACTTAATGTATTGGTACTTTTACGTAGTGGATAATAATGTCGTGTTGATTTGAAATGTTTATTGTTATTTTTAATGTTTTTTGACATTGTTTTTTTGAATATTGACGAATTGGAAGCGGATTTCTCCGTTGATGACGTTGTATTATCGAATGGATTGGTTTTATTGACTACTGGCGTATGATTCATGTTCAAACGATCGATAGAACGTTTCGGTTTTAAACAATACACAATAATCACTAAACTATTACCGATAACACCTAGCAGACAGATTAAACTTAACAGAATCACTGATATAATCGATTGGACAAATGAAATGTGATCTTTCACATGTAATGTATGACATTGTTGAAATTGATCGTTGAACAATAATAATGAATCGGCAAGCATAATAATAATAATAATAATAATCTCCACTTAAACAATTGTGTTGCTGATAATAATAATAATAATCGATCTACTTAAATTGTTTTTCGAAAAACAAAAAGGAATTACTTTTCATTTTGTATTCTTTCTTGTATAAGTGAGTGGATAGTTTTGTAATAAGATTAAGGGACTATTGACTATTGAAAAATCTCCATATTGCGTTTATTTCAATAAGAATGAACCAATGAAAAATTGTTATTTTGAAATGTCTAATGGATTTAAATTAATTTCATTGGTTATTGGACTCTAACTGTTCATTGGTCAAAATAAGATAAATAGATGAAATGTTCTAGCGAAATTCCATCGCTAAGATTAGTTCGAAATAATAATAATAATAATAATAATAATAATAATGGTAATAATAATCATAGTAATAACATAGTCTTTAAAAGTAGAGATACGTAGTCACTAGCCGAAAAGAGTAGGTCCTGGGTCCGAATCCTGCCAATGGTGGGAGTTCTGTATGCGCACTGTCACTGATGAGTCCAATGCCAGGACGAAACGACCTTCTTTTAGTGCCTCCAGGTTTCGAATGGTGGCCAAAAAATAAGTGATTCATAATTTCAGTAACAAACATGTTGGGGATGTTAGATTCCCAGAACTCACGTGGGAAAGTCTTAAGTTTGTAATTCTATTTCGAAATTTTGAATTTCATTGCTTTCGCGCCAAGACGCTTAGTTGACCTTCAGCTAACCTTTCCCATTGGTTGATGGATTATTTAGTACGTTATTTTGTGGTTTTCCGAAGGGCATTTCCATCATTGTATAAATAAGCTTGATTTGTGTGCTTAGCAACCTCGAATTTTCTGGTTGCATGTAGAATACATTCTCTCTCTCTCTCTCTAGTTAGTGTGGCCTCGGACGATCGGACTGCAATAGCCTATCATGTCACTAAATCTTTGATCTTTGATCCGTTTACGGAGTTAGATGGTCTAGTGATAGTTCAACTATATCAAAACATTTCTTTATACCTGTCAATTGATGACGTAGTTTCAATTTTAAAGATCACCATTGTGAAAATTAGAACGAAATTTCATCATAATCACTCACCTGAGCTACAAACAGTCTACACCTAAGGTCCTTTTATACTTTAAGTTAATTGTCAGTATAGGGTGGTAAAGATTGCTAAATTTCATTGAAACCACGAGCCGATAAATATTAGAACACCACTGGAAACATCCGATTACTGGGAGGACTATGGAACTAATCAGCAGTTAATCAGTCAGTTACAACGTAGAACTTCGTACGTACGTACAGCAGTTCAGGTTGTCATACCACATTAGCACAGAGACGCAACTGTCACTTCAAATCCCATATTAGTAAAGGTAGCGGAAGTACTAGCAGCAATCGGAAAGATTAGGGTTCGAGGATATTATTCAAAACGTAGCATCTAGTGAAATAAACTTAAAAATAAAAAGATAAAGGTGATGAGGAAGTCCGAAGTTTAGGATTTGATAGAACACAAACAGTGGATGCATCTGCACCATTGCAAACGGTTTCTAGCCATATCATTCAAGGTCCCTAACCATCGTTTAATATCATCTCGCGAGCCCCAACCAGGTAATCGACACCTTCCAACATGAATCAGCTCACTTGTCAGTGACTTCATAAATTTGTGTCATGATTTGGTTTGGCCGTCCCTAGCTTTCTTACAACCTAATCCTACACCACAAAACATAACTCGTTGTAGTTAGGCATGCGCAAAGCATGTTCGCTCACCAGCAGTGCACTTCCACAATTAAGAGAGCTGGAGTCGAACACAAAACCTTCGATCTCTAGTATGTCAAGTATGAGGCCATTACCCATTGAACGTAATGGATGCAGTCGCGCACTATCGTGGATTGGATCAAGTTAATCATTTAAACTATCAGAGTTCGATCCCCTATGATAAGCTCGTGAATAAACACCTCCTTAAAGTTCTATGCTAGGATAGATTGGTCGTATTTCAATGCTTCCCAGTTTCAAATAATGATCTATCATTGATCAGTTCATGATTTGAATGTAACCTGAAAAAAAAAACATTCTCCAACAAATCTTATAATAACAAACCTCTTTTTTACCTAGAAAAAAATAACAATCATCTTAAAAGAGAAAATAGAACGATTAAAAAGAACATTTTGTTCTGCTTTGTTATTTATTTCACACTGATTATTATTCATTGTGTGTGTGTGTGTGATCAAGTATGATTTTTTGTTTATTCTTAGTAGTTTTTTCAATCATCATCATCAACAAACTTGTTCAATTTTCAAACTTCATCAATGTTCAATTTGTGTACAGTAAAACAAACAGAAAGAATAATAACAAGTAGAAGGGTTATTTGTTTATTTTAATTGTACAAAAATAACAATTCATTAACTAACTAACTAACTCACTAACAAATCACTACAACACATGGATGGAGTGAATGAATGAATGAATGAATTAATGAATGTTTCAACTTCTTTTTTTTTAAGTAAACAATCGTGATTTTATACAATGATGTTGTAAATGGTTTCTGCTTTTCTAGATTCATCAAAAGATAATTTGATAAATTACTGTTAGGCATGCACGTAAACACGTCATTCTGATGATGCTTGAACTATTATTTATTACGAGTTTACTTTAGTCGGAAAACGAGAGTGAGGATTGAGGATTCGGTGACAACACGATAGGCTACTCTAATCTGATTGTCTTAAACCCCCGTTGAGTAAAAGTAGAAGACTTGATATGAAGTAGAACGTGTATTCTGCAAGCATTCAGAAAGTACGAGGTCCGAGTTCAGAAGAGGCTAAGTATCCTGAACTAGGGATCCAAGTCTGGATCCGCGTCAGGCTCATAAAAAGGTTACACATAATGCGTATTTATACATTTTAGTCGAATAGGAAACAGCATCTCATTCTGTGACATTGACAGTTAAGACGAACAATAGGAAGTAACATTTGAAGTGACATTGATAGTCAGGACAACCATAAAATTGATCAATAACTATCTTAGGATATTGGATGAAAATCCTAACAGAATGAACGCCAGTTGCACATCGAGAACATCAGTTGCTATTACTGGTGTAGTGAAGGAGAACACAGGTGAGGACAAACGAATTGTATTTAACGAAAATTACAGAGTTACTCAGCAAAATCGGAAAACCATATCGTAAATCGTTCATTTGCAAAATATCAGTTCATCATATCGAACTGGACTGTTCCTGTTGCAAAACATCAATCCATTGTCATTATTCATGCGTTTCATACAAATTCCATTGTGTTCTAACTCTTCCTTTCTTGATCTTCCCCCATCTTCTGCTGCCAGACATTACGTTGACACTCACGTCATATACTACTTATAAGTAGCTCGCACCACACTGGGAGTATGACTCCGAACTTATGTCCAAGATAACCTTGCTAACAGTTGCCAACGTTCGGGTAGTCAAAAACATGCTATTATCAGCGTGCAGGACATTCGTTCGACTGATTAGACTGATGGTTCGTGTACGTGCGCCTATCACACCATACCAGCAGTTTACTTAACAGGTTGCAAGTTGTTTAGGGTACTAGCAGCTAATCAATACGTCGAAGATACCTGCCATGTCATACATAATCATAGAGCCACTGCTGTGATGAATGCTTCAGAATATAATAATGTGATACGGGTCAAATAGTAAACAACGTTGAAGTCTGTGACATTGATAGTTAGGCCGACCAGTAGGATTAGACTAACAAATAATTCTTTTAGGATATTGGATGAATATCCTAACACAACCTAAGCATTTAGACCTCTGAGCCGCTAATGATCGATTCATAATTTCAATGAAACTCGAAAATCTCCTTAGATCTATGATGAAAACCATAAAATGTGATGGGAATTCTCGAGTGAGAAGCCGTGAACAGTGGATTTTGACTGTATCAGGTGTGAGGTAGGTAACCTGCGAAGACAATCAGCGACGGTCATGCAATATCGTGGATCGATTCACCTTAGATATTAATATAGTTGGATGCCGGTTCAGTGGTCTGAGGGCTAGATGTTCGTACGCCAGGCTGATGGTCCTGTGTTCAACTTCATTTGATCGGGGGTCATGGATGTGCCCTAATGATGAGACCCATACTAGGATGAAACGACCGCACAGTACTTCCAGGTTTCTAATGGTGGTCTACCAATGATCGATTCATAATTTCTTTGAAATACAATACTATCTGTTATTAATTCATTTACAACCATACTTGATTTACAGTATTGTCAATAAGAGCTATGATGTTTATTTAGTTAAGTTCAGTTAATCTTGTTTACTTCAGTTTTCGTAAACAATCAGCTGATAGCCGAAAGTTCTTCCTTGTTTATTTATCTATGTCTGTAACTCTTTTGTGGAGTATATAGGCTGTCAACTGGGGTTCTCTAACCAACTCCGTCCTGGGCTCTCCTCTTTAGTTTTTTTCCGAATGTTATTCATTCTTTTTGATGTCTGCCTATAAGATGATTAACAAAGATCCATCATCATTCCTTGTGATGCTGATTCTTGTGACACACAACCACATATCATGTTGAAGTTATTACTTCTTAAATCCCTTAAAAGTTGTGCTCCCTGGTAGTTACCTCTGTATTGAGTAGATCGTGAAAAGCCTGGAACTTGTTGTTGAGGGCTCTCTTGAATTCATTGACTCTATCAGTATCTCGAAGAAAGACTGTATTGAGCTCTTGTGATGATGTTCGATTAGTTGTCCAGTGCTTAGTGAGTTTTAGTTTCTTCTTGGTTTTCTGAAGCTATATCAACACCTCTCTTGGTTTGCACGTCCTCTATCGTCCTTCTGAACTTTTTATTGATGCAGATGTAAACGGTTGTGTTCTGAGTAGTGTGGTCCGGTGAAACAATGACATTTTATGTATGC